GGGTAGGGGATTTTTTATAGATAATTTAAAACAATAATATTGTTTTTAAAAAGTAACGGATTTTTATAAAATTTATATAAATTAAAATTTGTATTGGTCCCCTATTCTCGAAGTTTGAAAATTATCTCTTTAAAACTATCAAAATAATTTTACTTTTATCTGGCCACCTTATATATTACTATAGTTGTAGTGTATTAAGCTTTATTTATTTTTTTGTCATTTAAAAGAAACCAATTAAGTAAATTACTTTTTTAACTTTCTAACACTTTCTTTTAAACTTTTTTTATTTATTTTAAAGACATTGAAACCAAGCAACTTAAAGGACATAAATCTTTTATTTATAGAGTTTTTCTTTTTTTTTAATTTTCATTTAGTATTCATGTAAGTATTTTGTTTGTGTTTCTAACAATTTGTGGTCCATAGTTGTTGTATTTTCTTCTTATTTGTTTATATCTTGTTTTATTTTTGTTGTTTATTAAGTTTATTTGCATATAGAAAAAATAAATGATAGTTTAATCTCTTTATAAATCTAAAAATCCAATTCAATTCAATTAAGTTTTATTTTGTTTGTTATTCTTCTGCATTTAATGGAGTTTATGGATTATTGATACCCTAGAGCAGTAACTCAACGAATTTAATGAAATTTTTTGAAAATTTCTGTTCTGAGAAAGTATTTTTAGAAAATATTTTTAATAGAAAATTTTCCATAAAATCTTTTTTTATAGAAAATTTTCCATAAATTCAACTTTAAAGAAAATTTTCTCTCATGTTTGTTTTTATAGAATATTATCGATTAATTTTCATCCACAATTTTAAATAAATTTTCTTTAGAAAAAATGTTCATTAATATTTTTTTTTGATAAATTTTAAATTTTATAGAATTTTTTTTTATAAATTTCCCTTAAAGAAAAAAAATAGAATAAATTTTCTTTTTATAGAAAATTTCAAATAAATTTTCTTCTTATAGAAAACTTTCAATAAATTTTCTTCTTATAGAAAACTTTCAATATATTTTCTTCTTATAGAAAACTTTCAATAAATTTTCTTCTTATAGAAAATTTTCAATAAATTTTCTTCTTATAGAAAATTTTCGATAAATTTTCTTTTTTATTTATGGTGAGTATAAGAAAAATCGACTGGACCGATTTTTGTTAAATTTTTTGATTTTTAGTTTGTTTTCTTTTGATTTACAGAGACAGTTTATTTTATTTTGTTTAAAGTATTTTCAATAAATTTTCTTCTTATAGAAAATTTTCAATAAATTTTCTTATAGAAAATTTTCAATAAATTTTCTTCTTATAGAAAATTTTCAATAAATTTTCTTTTTATAGAAAATTTTCAATAAATTTTCTTCTTATAGAAAATTTTCAATAAATTTTCTTCTTATAGAAAATTTTCAATAAATTTTCTTCTTATAGAAAATTTTCAATAAATTTTCTTCTTATAGAAAATTTTCTTCTTATAGAAAATTTTCAATAAATTTTCTTCTTATAGAAAATTTTCAATAAATTTTCTTCTTATAGAAAATTTTCAATAAATTTTTATCTTATAGAAAATTTTCTATAAATTTTTCTTTTATAGAAAATTTTTAATTAATTGTCAATAAATTTTTTTCTTATAGAAAATATTCGATAAATTTTCTTTTTATAGAAAATTCTCAATAAATTTTCATTTTATAGAAAATTTTCAATAAATTTTCTTTTTGTGAAAATTTTTCAATAAATTTAATTTTTTAGAAAATTTTACATAAATTTTCTTTTTTTAGAAAATTTTTAATTAATTTTCTTTTTAAAGAAAATTTTCAATTAATTTTCTTTTTATAGAAATGTTTCAATAAACTTTCTTTTTATAGAAATTTTTCAATAAATTTTCTTTATATAGAAAATTTTTAATAAATATTCTTTTTATAGAAAATTTACAAGAAATTTTCTTTTATAAAAAATTTTCAAGAAACTTTCTTTTGTAGAAAATTTTCAAGAAATTTTCTTTTGTAGAAAATTTTCAAGAAATTTTCTTTTTAAAAAAAATTTCAATAAATTTTCTTTTCGTTGAAAATTTTCAATAAATTTTCTTTTTATAGAAAATTTTCGATAAATTTAATTTTTCCAGAAATTTTTTTATAAATTTTATTTTTATAGAAATTTTTCAATAAATTTTCTTTTTATAGAAATTTTTCTTTAAATTTTCTTTTTATAGAAAATTTTCAATAAATTTTCTTTTTATAGAAAATTTTCAATAAATTTTCTTTTATGGAAAATTTTTAATAAATTTTCTTTTACGGAAAATTTTCAATAAATTTTCTTTTACGGAAAATGTTGAATAAATTTTCGTTTTAAAGAAATTTTATATACTTTTCTTTTCCATAAAATTTCTTTTTATAGAAAATTTTCCATAACTTCTCTTTTTATAGAAAATTTTCAATAAAGTTTCTTTTAATAGAAAATTGTCAATAAGTTTTCTGTTTATTGAAGTTTTTTATGAATTTTCTTTTTATAGAAAATTTTCAATAAATTTTCTTTTTATAGAAAATTTTCAGTAAATTTCCTTTTTTTTTTGAAAATTTTCTTTAAAATGGAAATTTATAGAAAATTTCTTCTTATAGAAAATTTTTCATAAATTTTCTTTTTATAGCAAATTTTCTTTAGTAGAAAATTTTCGAAAAATTTTCTTTTGTAGAAAATTTTGAAAAATTTTCTTTTATAGCAAATTTTGAAAAATTTTCTTTTATAGCAAATTTTACGGAAAATTATCATTTTATAGAAAAATTTCAAAAAATTTTCTTTTATTCAAAAAGTTTTCTATAGATTTTATTTTTAAATTTTGTTTTTATAGAATTTTTTAATTTTTTTATAGAAAATTTTTAAAAAATTTTCTTTTTATAGAAAATGTTCAATAAATTTTCCTTAAAATAGAAAAATATAAATTTATTATAGAAAATTATCATTTTATAGAAAATTTTCAAAAAAATTCCTTTTGATAAACATTTTTTTTTAAATTTTGTTTTTATAGATTTTTTTAATTTTTTATAGAAAATTTTTGTTAAGATTTCATTTTTGTTTGGGTATCATCTAGTCCACAAATATATGTTAGTTCCCAGATATCTGCTGTGTTTCCAATAAATGTTTAAAATCCTTATTAGACTATATAAACTTAACTTCCTTGCATACAGAAAAAACAAACAAATATAAAACCACATTAAAATTTATTAATACATTAGAGATTTTTCATTTTAAACTCTACCACATCAGATCAAAGTTTTTCGGTCATAGAGGGCGGGGCAGTTTGGGGATATTTTGGGGTTTATTTTATACAAATTTTAACAAACAAATAAAAGCTTAAGTTTAAGACAATTGGAAACAATTTCTGTTATTTTATTTTTTTTTAATCGTTATTAGTTTTTAGTTTTCTTTTTTATGGTATTAGTTCTAATCAATGATTCAATGCATTCTGCAGAGTTTTGTTTTTCTTTTGTAGTTGTAATAGTTTTTGAAACATTTTAATACATACAAACAATTATTTTTCTTTAGTAACTTTAGTATAGATTTAAATAACAATTTATTTATTTATGAATTTTTTTCTTGTTTCTTAAAATTTTATAACAATATTTTTTGGTTTCATTTTTCATAAGAATTACATTTTGTTTAAGGATTTTTCATTTCACAATTTTTGTTTTTCTATAAGACAAGATTTTATAGATTTTTCTTCTGTTAGAATAAATAACAATAATAAAAAAAATAATAAATATTTTATTTTAAGAGTTTGGGTTATTTTGTTGGGTAAAATTTTTAGCTCTGGTTTTGGTGTTCTAGAAGTTGTTGGTATTAGTTTGTTATGTTAGTTTTGGAAAATTTATTGATATGGAAATATTGTTAAAGTTTTTGAGGTTAGAAAGAAGGAAGGATTTTTTTTAAGTAGCTTCTAGAAAACTAAATAATTGAAGAAATAAGAGGATTTTGTTAGTTTTGAAAAATTTGTGTTTAAAATTAATTAGAATTGTGTAAATAGTTATATAAAAGTTCTATTCTTACCTAAGAAGCTGCACAGTGTGACTATAAGTAAAGGTTTAAGTTTGAAGCATATTACATAAAATATTTACTTAACGGCTTTTTAAATTTCCTTTCTTCACTTTTATGGTTTGTTTTTAATATAGAAAAAAATCTCAAAAAATCACTTTGTTCAAATTATCACAGTACAAGTACTTTGACTTAAAAAGAAAACTTTATTTTTATTTATTTATTCAGCGTGTCTTGTACAAAGAGAAACCACAAAAAGTTTTTCTTTCAAATAAAAACATTTTGTTTGTAGTTTCACAACAAAAAATAAAATATTTGTGCAATTTTTCACATTTTTTAAACAACAAATTTTTGCTTTAACTCCTTTTGCAAAATTAAGAGAAAAACTTTTTTCAACTGTTAGCCAAAAAGGAAAAAAAAATCAAATATTTTGCTTAAAGATGCACCAAATACTTAATTTCTTCGCTTAATTATAAAGAAGAAAAAACAAAAACCTAACTAAGAAAAGTAGGTCAATTGCGGAAATATGTACCAAAATTAGAAACTGCAAAGAGTATAGTCGAAAAAAAAAACTAATTAACAAACTGCAGTAATTAAAAATAAAAAAAAAGAAGAAAAATATTGAAAAGTTAACAACATGTTAAGTGGTAAATAGAAAGCTGCTGGTGGTAAATAACACTTTTTTTAAAAAGAAAATTAAAATATAAATTTTTCAAATATTCGAAATAAAATCTCTATTTGTTATTAAAAAACAACTTAAACAATCGAATGATAACATTAAAAGAAAACAATTTAATTTTTTTTTTTATAAATTTAGATTAAATTATAGTAAATTTATTTAATTAATTTTATCAAATAGTTTAAACAATTTATTTACAATTTTGTTTAGCTTAAATATTAAAGAAAATAATAAGTAATTTAAACAATAATAAGTAAATTTAACTAAAATTTATAACTTAAACTAAAATATTTAAGATTTAAATGGGCAACAACCACAACTAAGAATAAAAAAAGATCAGCTTAAAATTTAGAAAGGACAACTAGTTTTTATGTGATTAATCCAATTTAATTGAAAATGTTTAACAGTTAACGTCATATTCTAATAATACACTTACATCAAAATAATGTACGTATTAATTGATAAATCTCCATCTCAAATCTTCTTTTCACAGATGTTTCTTTGGTTTGAAATCAAATTGATGTGCATACTAATTGTTTGCATTTGTATGTTTATTAGTTATCTCGTTTTTCTTTCAATTGAAATTAAAGAAAATTTTTCGTTACTACAATTAACCTTTTAATTCATAGTTGTAAATACAACAAACCTTTGTTTAACTTAAGAATTTAGTAAACCAGATAATTGTTCATAACTCTGCAAAAACATAGTAAAGAACTTAATTTTCAACTTCTACTACATACCGTTCGCATTACTTTTAAGTGTTAATGACTTACATATCAACATATACGTAAGTAATTACTTGAAGTTTCCCTATTTTATTGAATGCGTTCTACACAGGAAATAAAATAATATTTCTTAATGAAAACCAATACTTCATATTCTGTAAAATAAATAAAGAACAAGGCAATAATTTTGTGCGTAAGAAACGTTTTTAACTGCTTATTTGTAATGACCTTTTTAAGCACTTATTTATAAGTATTTGCTTTTAATGCGTAGTGTTGAACATAACGAACACGGTAATAATTTTATGCGTAAGAAACTTTTTTAACTGCTTATTTGTAATGACCTTTTTAAGCACTTATGTTTGTGGACTTTCGATTTAAACCCTTCCAAGTGATAGGAAAGATAGGGTAAATTTTGTTCCACATAGGGACAGTAGGACTAAAGAATGAATTCTATCTGTAGTACATTCTGTGATCCACTGGCCAATTGACCACAGATAAGTGTGCTCTTACTAAATGACGTGTGTTACTTGAGGATATGCGGGTTTCGGGAGCAAGTTCCCTAATTTCAGAAGAAAATATTCCATTGTAATATTGATAGAATTGTGAAACACACTCATATTGCTGCTATGCGACAGTGAATCAATAGAGTTGTATATCCTACTGTCTCCGATAGGTCCGCAGCCCTCTCCTGTAACGGTCGAGTAGCCCCAAAATAGACTATGGAGCGTCGGCCAATACATGGTAATTGTATTCTATTTTAGGTCGGATATATGTATGTTGTGTAGATAACAAGGTGGTCAGAGGGGGTGAAGTATGTACTATACGGTTTAAAAAAACCGAGACACTTGAGTACTTCTTTCCACGTTAAAAACATGTGTTTAGTCCAGCTATGATCACACTGCATTCTCATGCTCAGAACATTTACAGTTTCTGACTCTTCAATATTTACACCACCCATAAATATAAATTAAGCAACATGATCTGTCGTGCGTTAAAACACAACATTGAGTCTTACGTACATTGAAAGCGACTCTATTAGCACGACCCCATTTAGAGATTGCCACTTGATCTTGAATAAGTTCATGCTTTGCCTCATTGCCCTAATCTCCAAAGAACTTGGCCTATAATATATAAAAGAAGTTGAAAGTTTGGCATAGAAGGTCATTTAGAAAGATAAGGAATAGAGTAGGAGATCGGGGTCTTGCGGTTCCTCGAATTAAACTAGAACTCATTTGCTGAGATCCCATCGACACCAAAAGCAGTCGTTTTTGATATTATATAAAAAAAAGAACTAATTTCTTAACAATTAATAATTTTAACCAAAAACTTGTAACTATAAGTCCATTTTTACCCAAAAGTTAGAACCCAATTTATCCTAATTGTTATCTCAATGAAAGAGACAAGTTCTCCATCTCCTGTTTGTATATGCCTTCAGAAGTTTGATAGGATTATCCAAATTTGAATTCCTTACAGACGTCAATGTAGATGGGTTAATATGATACGACACTATAATAACTGTGATGTCGACTCTGAGGTCTTCAAAAAAACTGATATAAAGTCCCTTTAATGACTTCCAAATACTGATTGAGTGCATTGTCGACAACCCTATCCAAATCACAACAAAATTGTTTGCTCCATTTCGTCTTTATTCTATGATAAACATACATAGATGTCTCAATTTGTCATAAAGTAAGTTGTCAATGACAAACAAACACTTACATGTAAGGAGTTTAAAAGACAAATTTGCAATTTTGCAAAGACAGTATTGCAATGAGAAAACCTGATAAGCAAATAATTATAAATGAAATTATAATTAAGTAATGTAATGAAGATGTATGCCGTTGATATTGAAAGGTCTGTTATTAGGTAATTAAAAACCATTAAAAGTCTTAAACAAGTTATTTTTTTAATATTCTTCATTTTTTCTCTTTTCTGTGCATAAATATAATGCTTCTCTTAATTTACATTTTCATTAACGGAAAAAATACAGAAATCCGTTTTATCACATTTAAATTTGTTTATTGCCCTGCCTCACTTGTTACAAATTAATTCATTTACCAATTTCCGGTCTTTCACCCGCATATAAATTTAAACGAATAATTAAACTGAAATACTGAATAAAATGTTCAATGAGAAGTTTTTTTCTTTTATTATTTTTTTTTTAAAATACACCTGAGGCCACAAACACACAAAGATCCTTCGAGTCAAAGGAAAACCAGAGTTAAAAATTTAAACACTCCCAAACACATACAAACGAGGCAACTGAAATAACTGACTCTTGTTTACACTTAACATATATTTAAGTATACACATACATACACATACAGGAAACAGGAAACCCCTTGTAAGTGCGGGCAAGCATACATACACCCACACATATACAGATTTAAACAAACTTATGTGTATATGTATGTATTAGCTTGCTTTTTTTGTTCTGTTCCAGTGTTTTTTTTTTCTAGAATCTCTTTGTTGCACATCAATTAAAAAGCAAATATCGGTAATAACACTGCAACATACATGCTCATACATGGATATAAGCATATTTTTTCAGAGTGTGTGAGTATGTTGCAAATAAAACTAGGTAGTTTGGAGTTTGTTGCTATAGTAATCGTAGTTGTTGTTGTATTAGTTAAATGTTGAAAATTGCAACCAATTTTGTGGGGAGCAAAAAATATTAGCAAGAAACGCCCTGCTTAGCAACAGTATACCAAGTGCTCACTTTAACCAATGAAGGAGAATCGGGTGTAGTGGCTGCTGCCGCCAGATTAGAGGGGTCCACCACTTCAGTTGATGTTGTAGGATTATTGAAATTCAAATTTCCATGTTCATCTGATAATGGCAGAGGTGGCGGCGGTGGAGGTGCAGGTGGGAGCTGTTGTGCTAGGACTTGTGGGGGAATGGAAATGTTGGTGGTAGTAGTTGCTGATGTTGTTGTTGCTGTTACCACTAATGTGGTGGTGGTTTCAAAAGAAGCAACAGCTGTAGTTGTAGATGTGGTCTCTAGATGTGTTAGTGGCAGTTGTGGCAAATTATGATGCAAATGTTGAGGAGGGTGGTCGGGGTAATGGTGATAATGATGATGATGTTGCGTTGTTGTTGCCATGGCACTAGACGTACAACAGCAACAACAACTGGATGAAGTAGCAGGGGCAATGTTGGAACAAATTGCTTGTTGCTTGTAATCACTGCTACATTGGGGACTTTGATAATGAGTAGTTTGTTGTTGATTTTGTTGATGGCTTGAGGAGTGGCAACAGTCTCGTAAATTGTTTGCTCCTGTTGCTGCTGCTGCTATTGTTGTCATATTGGTGGCAGTTAAATCTTTTGTTGGCGTTGCATGTGGCTGTTGCTGATTTTTATTTGATTTTTGATTATTTGATAAATGTTCATTATGCTGATGATGATGATGTAGGTGATGATGATAGTGCTGTTGTTGTTGCTGCTTCAATTCACTTTCCATGGTTAAAGTAGTTGTTTGCATGGGACTTATGGCTTGTTGGCCTCCAAAACGTTGTTGCTGATGCTGCTGTTGTTGTTGTTGTTGCCCATAAACGTGTGTATATTGCACTTGATATGCTGTTAGTTGCTTTTGTACATGTTGTGGATGATGAAAATGCAACATGGGTGGCATTTGTCGATCACGTCCCACTTGTGGTCCCACTTGAGGACAACGAAAACGTATGGCCTGTTCATTGGCCGCATTCAAGTCCCGTATTAATGGCAGTTTTAAATGTTGCTCCTTATTGTTATTGTTAGTTTTGTTTTGGCTAATGTTGTTACTACTAGTCGTATGTTTATTATTACGGGCACGTTTAGCACGACTTTTAGAACGGGATTTTTTCGAACGCATTTTCTGAGCTTGATTACCACTACCGCCACCACCAGCACTACTCGCATTGGCATTACCACTGCCACTGCCAGCACAAAATGTACTAAAACGTTGTTTACTGCGCTCACGTTTGGCATGCTGTTGCTGGCGTAATTTACTACGCTGTCGTGGTCTCATATATCTAAGTTGCAACTCAGATTGTGGCCTCAAACAGTGGCGACAATAGGAATCTGTCTCGCTCACCTCACTATCGCTGTCTTCATTATTTACAGTTGTTGTTACCGATAGAATCTCGTCGACATCTGTGCCGCCATCACCTTCATACTTTTCACGTAATTTCAGTTGTTTGTCATGCTTTCGTTGTTCACGTATTACCTTCATTTGTTTGCTATGTTTACCATCTTCCGTTCGTCCGGCATGTCCTTTTGTACGCTGTCCACTATCTAAACGTTTAGCCTTCTTAGTTGTCGCCGTTGGGGTTGGTGTTGCTGCTGCTGATGATGATGATATTGTTGATTTCTTTATTTCACATTCCAATGGATATGGTCAGAATGCAGAATCAAATACTGACATTGATCTCGAAATGGCATCATCATTGCGACAAGCCTCTAGAAATTCTTCCAGCGTCACTACACCATCACGATTTATATCCATTTTCTAAAATTTCAATCGGAAGGCGGAGGAAAAGAAAAAGATGGTAACAAATTAGAAGATATAAATAAAATTTGGTTTTAAATTGTTTTTTGGTGTTGTTTTCCGTGCTGTGTTGCATTGCCAACATTAAGTACACTTTTGGTTTTCACCAAAAAACTTGTTTTAAAAAATGTCTCTAATACGTGACCAGTTTTGTTATAATTTGAAAACTTTAGAGCTGAACACAATTGCCTCCATATGTTGCTTGAAATGTCAAGTGATTGTTTCCCAATTTTTTTTCTAAAGTCTGAGTTGTATTTTTCTCTGCAGTGGTTTATTCATGAGTTTTGTGGGAAAAATGTTGTTTAACAAAGTTAATTGAAATAAATTTTTTGTGGAACTGTTTAATTAAGTATAGTTTTTCAATTCTATAGTAAAAGGAAATTTAATTTAAAATTAGATTTTTTAAAATGATTTTCTTTAATTGAAATATTTAAAATTTATACTCTATAATGGATATGTTTATCCATGTAAAAAATTTCATTAAAAAAATTCTACATTTAAAAATCAATAACACTTTATTTTACCAGTCAAAAGCACTAAAACTCTTTTGCAAACAAACTGTTGTATATTAAAAAATCCTACCAGACTCTACTTGAATAAAAAGTTCATTCAACTAAAAAGAAACTCTTCAAAAGGTATTGAACAAGTTTCATTAAAATACATTTTTAATATTTAACACAATTGTGAAAACTTGTCTAAAGTTCTTTTATGAAAACAGTAAAAGTTCAAAAAAACTGCGTAAAAATATTTATTTTATTAAAAACTGTCATTCAAAATAAATTTACGCATATTTTTCTTAAACAAGAAAAATAAACTTATTTAAGAATCTTTTTGACATTTCCGCTTTCATATGCCGTTACTCCCTCATCATTTATTTTTTCTTTGAATAATTTTTGTGTTCATCTTCTTTAGCTATTAGTATTATAGCCATCATGTCAAAAAATAACTTTTATTCAATTAACTTCCGTTCAGCAGCAAGACTTTTGACAAAAGGAAACCTACACACATACACACAGAGAGAAAATGGTAGTATAAGTTAAAACACATTATCATAAACATAATTTTAAGCTGAAATGTCTTAAGGAATTTGCCTCAATAACATATTATTTCCTATTCATAATAATGTTCTTTTCTTTTTCATTCTCATTCTCATTTTTCCTTAAATATACTTAATATACATAATAGCTAATATATAGTATAGGAGTATTATGAATATTATAGATTAGTTAAAGGGGCATGAGTTCGAGGTTTTACCTGAAATATTTGTTCCACTTTTCCTTTGATTTTTTCCTCTTCAGGTAATTCATCGGGCAGACGTCCCATCAGTTCATAAATGGCAGTCACAATATCAGTCATTTCTTCCCTCGTTATATAACCATCACCATTGATGTCGTATAATTGAAAAGTCCAACGTAATTTCTCTTCCACCGAACCACGCGACAATATCGAAAGTCCTTGAACGAAATCCTAAGGAAATGAAATAGTAAAAACAAGAGCAAAAATGGTAAATATTAGTTTTGTAGAAAAGAATAAAATCATTATGATAAGAAAGCGAGAGAGTATAGAATTGAGAGGCCAATGTAAATGAATCTGAAGATCAGAGTATTAAAAGAATGAAATGTATAAACTAATGAAATTACAGAATGTATTCCATATGGTGAGACCAGAAAGATTTTTGAATACATTAATCATTTAACCAAAAGCTTTTCTACAAAGAAAATTTTTAAAGCTTTTTATTAAAAATACTATTAACCGTAAGTTTTCTCATATAGAAAACTTTACACCGAAAGCTTTCATATAAATAAAACGTATAATTGAAAGTTTTTATATATAGAAAGCTTAAAAGTTTTTTATACTTTTAACCGAAAAACTTTCTATATAGAAAAATTTAACTGAAAACTTTTCTGTGTAAAAACTTCAAACTGAGAGCTTTTCCCTAAGTAATATTTTTAACTCTAAACTTTTCGATAGAGAAAAGTTTAACTGTAAGTTTTTCTATATAGAAAACATTTAATTTTCCTTCATAAAAAGGAAATCTTCTATATATAGACAACTTTTAAGCAAAAGCTTAAAAGTTTTCTATACTTTTGATATATAGAAAAAGTTTAATGGACAAATTCCCTTTAAAGAGAGCTTTTAAGTGAAAAGTTTTTAATAAGGATATGGAAGCTTTTCTATAAAGAAACCCAATGATCATAATATTTTATATATAGAAATTTTTAACCGAAAACTTTTCAATATAGAAAAGTTTGATCGAAAGCTTTTCTGTACAGAAAACATTTAACCTAAAGCCTTTCCATTAAGAAAACTTTTCTATAAAAAAAGCTTCCCAACTACTACCAGCTTCTATAAAAAAGCTTCCCAACTACTACCTGCTCTTATTAAAAATTAGACAATTTTTAATCGAAAACTATTCTTTATAGAAAATGTTTTTACGAAAGAATTTCAACATATAAAACATTTAGTCGAAAGTTTTTCTATACAGAAAGTTTTTATTCGAAGATTGTCTATATAAAAAAATTATACGCGACTAATTTTCCTATACCCTACGAAGTTATTCTTTTAAACATCCAACAATTTCCCAGCAAGAATAGGCAGGTGTATAATTTGTATGTTTGTTTGTAAAAGAGGAAATATAATTTTGTAATATTGTAGGTAAATTTATGAATTGATGAAGGTGGTCTTAAGAGGTGGTTTTACCCAGCTTATGTCAATGCTTAAATATGTAAGTAACTATAAATGTGTCTGTCTGTCTTTATGAAAACAGGAAAAAATTACTTTTTCATAAAAGAGAAAAAAATACTAAATTGTAAGAAATTGCCTAAAGCCACAAGATAATTTTTCAGATTTTTTTCTGCTCTTGCTTTCTTTTACATATACATATTTTGTTTTTGAAGACAAAGTATTCTCGTACAATATTACTTTTATTCTTCATCTGTTTTTCCCCTTAAGTGTTGGTTTCCAAAGGTCATTTGTTATAGAAATGAAAATAATGACAAATGTTTTACAGTTGAAAGATTTAAAAACAGTAACCAGAAAATAAATTTTCTTTTTATGGTTTTGTTGTTGCCAGTAATGCTGTTTGTATAAAGTTTTTTTTTTTTTTACAAATTTATAATGTATTCAATGATTACTTTAGTTTTTTATTTGCAGCTTTCAAAAAGTGATCAATCACATATTTTTTGTTGTAATAAAATTATTTTGAAGGGTATAGTTCCGGCTGCAAAGGGCAGCAGAAAAAAAGGTGTTTCAAGTAGTCTTTAGTAAATTTAATTTAAATGTAATTTAAAATTTTTTCTAGTTCAGTTCTGGTTCGGTTCAGTTCTAGTTCAGTTCCAGTTCAGTTCTAGTTCTAGTTCTAGTTCAGTTCTAGTTCAGTTCTAGTTCAGTTCTAGTTCAGTTCTAGTTCAGTTCTAGTTCAGTTCTAGTTCAGTTCTAGTTCAGTTCTAGTTCAGTTCTAGTTCAGTTCTAGTTCAGTTCTAGTTCAGTTCTAGTTCAGTTCTAGTTCAGTTCTAGTTCAGTTCTAGTTCAGTTCTAGTTCAGTTCTAGTTCAGTTCTAGTTCAGTTCTAGTTCAGTTCTAGTTCTAGTTCAGTTCTAGTTCAGTTCTAGTTCTAGTTCAGTTCTAGTTCAGTTCTAGTTCAGTTCTAGTTCTAGTTCAGTTCTAGTTCAGTTCTAGTTCAGTTCTAGTTCAGTTCTAGTTCAGTTCTAGTTCTAGTTCAGTTCTAGTTCAGTTCTAGTTCAGTTCTAGTTCTAGTTCAGTTCTAGTTCAGTTCTAGTTCAGTTCTAGTTCAGTTCTAGTTCAGTTCTAGTTCAGTTCTAGTTCAGTTCTAGTTCAGTTCTAGTTCAGTTCTAGTTCAGTTCTAGTTCAGTTCTAGTTCAGTTCTAGTTCAGTTCTAGTTCAGTTCTAGTTCAGTTCTAGTTCAGTTCTAGTTCAGTTCTAGTTCAGTTCTAGTTCTCAGTTCTAGTTCAGTTCTAGTTCAGTTCTAGTTCAGTTCTAGTTCAGTTCTAGTTCAGTTCTAGTTCAGTTCTAGTTCAGTTCTAGTCAGTTCTAGTCAGTTCTAGTTCAGTTCTAATTCAGTTCTAGTTTCAGTTCTAGTTCAGTTCTAGTTCAGTTCTAGTTCAGTTCTAGTTCAGTTCTAGTTCAGTTCTAGTTCAGTTCTAGTTCAGTATCTAGTTCAGTTCTAGTTCAGTTCTAGTTCAGTTCTAGTTCAGTTCTAGTTCAGTTCTAGTTCAGTTCTAGTTCAGTTCTAGTTCAGTTCTAGTTCAGTTCTAGTTCAGTTCTAGTTCAGTTCTAGTTCAGTTCTAGTTCAGTTCTAGTTCAGTTCTAGTCAGTTCTAGTTCAGTTCTAGTTCAGTTCTAGTTCAGTTCTAGTTCAGTTCTAGTTCAGTTCTAGTTCAGTTCTAGTTCAGTTCTAGTTCAGTTGTTGATTTATTCCTTATTAACAACATATATTTTGACAATTTAAACTTGTATTAATTTTAACTCAATTGGAATATAATTGGACAAGTAGTGTTAAAGATGTATTTAGTACTATTTGCAACGGTACGCATGAGTAATGTTTCAATTATATATTAATTATATGTCTCCCTTTCAGTTCAATAACTTTTTAATTATTTACAGTCAACTTAAAACATTCTCTTTAAAGAAAATTACGCATTCATATTCCGTTTTTGCTGCTCCAACTATTCGCATTTAATTTTAGCTAACATTTCACTTGCTAACCATTGTTTTTACGCGTTGAATTATTACAGGACATTTAATGCTTCAGTTGTTGCAAGAACTAAATTAAATTTTCCTTTCGAACAATAAGAACAAAAGATGAAAACTATGAATAGAGATGCGAGCTGTAGCAGAAGCCTTTCGAAAAAACGATAAAGGCTCAGAAATTGTATTTTACGTAGCGAATAATTGAAAATGTTTCATAATTAAAAAGTAAATGACAGTCATATTAGATTGAAAATTAAATTAATAAAGTTCGTTGCTTTTGCAAAATATTTCAGCATTGTTGACTCTTTAAATGAATATTATATTTAAGGAACATTTTAAGGGGTGGCGAAAGAGCGGAAAAATCATTAATATGTAAAACAATTTTCATAAATTATTAACTTTATTAAAGTAATTTTAATTCTTAAGAATTTGTATATGCGTGTGTTAAAAAAAAGCATTTAAATTTTATGCTTAATTAATTATTTATTTAAAACGAATTTTTTTGTGCCTTAAACACATGTACAATTTATATAGAATTTTTTTCGTCTTGTTTTTTTTTTTTGTCTGCTTTGTTCTTAATGTGGGACAACAGTATTTAAACGAAGTTTTCTTCTTAATAAGCTACTGATGCAGTCTAATTTCAAATTGGAGTGTTGTTGGGTGCTTTATCTTTAATTGCTGTTCAAAACTTTTAGAAAAACTCAGATGTAGGAGTAAGCAGATTGCTTAAGTTGTCTTGAATAAATATTAAGAGAAAATAAAATTACATTTTTAAATGTGTCACGCATAAAAAATATAAATTAATTTTAAATTTCAAGGGAAGACTGTTGTTAAGATTAATGTTTTAAAATAAAATTGACACACTAAATGCTTTAAATTTTAGCGTTTTTGCTCTGAGGTTTAAAAGAATTTGAAATTATGACTTTCTGAGTCATTGCCAAATAGGATCATGTTTTAGGTTTAAGATCGAAGTCATTTATTATCCAAAATTTTCCAGCCAGCGATAGCTGTATCTATTTAGTTTACCCACAGTTCACGTCTAGTTTAGTTTTAGTTCAGTTCTAGTTCAGTTTAGTTCATTCTAGTTTCTAGTTCAGTTCTAGTTCAGTTCTAGTTCAGTTCTAGTTCAGTTCTAGTTCAGTTCTAGTTCAGTTCTAGTTCAGTTCTAGTTCAGTTCTAGTTCAGTTCTAGTTCAGTTCTAGTTCAGTTCTAGTTCAGTTCTAGTTCAGTTCTAGTTCAGTTCTAGTTCAGTTCTAGTTCAGTTCTAGTTCAGTTCTAGTTCAGTTCTAGTTCAGTTCTAGTTCAGTTCTAGTTCAGTTCTAGTTCAGTTCTAGTTCAGTTCTAGTTTAGTTCTAGTTCAGTTCTAGTTCAGTTCTAGTTCAGTTCTAGTTCAGTTCTAGTTCAATTCTAGTTCAGTTCTAGTTCAGTTCTAGTTCAGTTCTAGTTCAGTTCTAGTTCAGTTCTAGTTCAGTTCTAGTTCAGTTCTAGTTCAGTTCTAGTTCAGTTCTAGTTCAGTTCTAGTTCAGTTCTAGTTCAGTTTCCGTTCAGTTCTAGTTCAGTTCTAGTTCAGTTCTAGTTCAGTTCTAGTTCAGTTCTAGTTCAGTTCTAGTTCAGTTCTAGTTCAGTTCTAGTTCAGTTCTAGTTCAGTTCTAGTTCAGTTCTAGTTCAGTTCTAGTTCAGTTCTAGTTCAGTTCTAGTTCAGTTCTAGTTCAGTTCTAGTTCAGTTCTAGTTCAGTTCTAGTTCAGTTCTAGTTCAGTT